ATCTTGGTTACAACATTTTATCTAGTGATTAAGGCATGTTTGATTAATTGATTTTATCTTTTAGATAGACTATCTGAAAATTAAATAGTTGTGAGTCTGTAGGATAACATGGTTAGATTGAGTCTTCAAACTAATGTTGCACGGAAAGATGTAGGTGTGAAGTATGATTGTGATTCTGAAGTATGAGGAATTAGACGATAAGTGTCTTCTAATCAAAACTCATATTCTTATCCATATCTTGACGAATACTAATACTACAAATGAAATAAATATATTGAATTTTTTAATCTTTAAAATCGTAATAATTTATATAATTTTGACATCTGAGTAAAAGAACATTTTTTATTTTTTGATCTCTTTAGAGTTCGGCATATTTATTATTCGATATTTTTAGTTATCTACATTTTATTTTTCGATATCTCTATATGCGACATTTTGTTTTTGCTTTTGATTTTTGAATTTTGATATTTTTCTTTTTGATCAAAGTGAAATTGATCACTAGAAAATAATCAAGATATGCTCTGATACGAGATAATAAAAACCATATGAATATATGATTGAATGTTGTAATAATGATTTTTGATGTCCTATACGGTGGTCGACATTCTCTTTCTTTTTGTTAACCTTTTATCCCCCATAGTTGTTCCAAAAATATCACTGATAAAAATAATTTTTATAAACAGGATATCAATCTATCTAATATACTAATGTTGTGGTCAGATCTATTAGATGTTCTGTTCTTGATGCAAGGCAGTTTTAGTTAAATAGCATGAAAAGCACTAATATTTGTTTTTCTCTTATGATAGTATTGAATATGTAAAAGCAGTTAAAATTCCATTGTATATAGTAATAGAAAAGGAAGAAATAAATACATAAAAGTGAATTTTGAAACAATACATCTGTTTTGTCTCATATTATCAAATAATCCTCTATATTTCTTCGAGACATTCTGTAATCACTTGAGACATTTTATCCATATTAAATATTATTTCAAGTTCTCATACGATGAGATTTACAATACATACAGTAACTTTATTCTTGATTGTCATCGGTCTGCTCGATAGTAGCAATATATTTCATTTGACGCCTTACCGTCTGTAAATTGACAAGCTATTGTAAAACTTTAAAACTTATATTAATCACTAGTAGACCTCTTTATTAATCTATATCACACAGCAAATTTCAAAGATTTTTACTTTTTGAAGGTAAAGAATATTTTGTTTGAAGAGTTTCAAGTGATTTCATATATTCTAAATTATCGTTTTTTTTTTCAAGTCCGATATTTTGAAGATAAAATGATGAAACGACATATTCTTTTTTTACATACTAATAACTTATGAAATTTACAAGAAAAGATGTTTTTAAAGCTTTGGAATTCTATATATTATTTAGTTTTCTGTAATCATTCTATAGTTGGATGAGGGGTTAAGAATATAAGACTAGTTACTTTAAGAAATGATACGAAACATTTGTAACAAACTAACTTACTAACGAGAGAACCCATCCAACTGATAATCTCCATTTGAGCTTATATTTTGCTCATAGGTGGGGTTCATAGTGTAGATAAAAATTCTGAAAAGGTTCGTACCATTAAACCTTTCTTCTTGAGTTATGATCATTTTACTGAATTTTCAGCTTAGCCTAGGATATCACAAGAAAAATCACAACAAGAAGTTTCAGTCCGAAAATTCTTCTCAACAATAGCTCTTATGATATCCTGAGAGTATCAGTTCAAACGGATGATTTCTTCTTAAGATATCATATGTCTAACAACTGAGTTATTTTTGGAGCTCTTGTATGAAAGTAATGTTTTTTTGCAAACGTGTTATTTCAGAAGGGAAATATCCTCGTGAGCTAAAACTTTCAAGATATTATAAGGATGATAAGAGTTATTTTTTGGGAAGAATTTTAGGCCAAAACACTTCTTGATATGATTTTTCACGTGATAGCCTAGAATAAGTTGGAAGTCCAGTAGAATGACCATAACCCAAGAAGAAAGGTCTAATGGCATGAACTCTTTGAGGATTTTTTTGTAATCTACATTATGAGTCCTATCTATGAGCAAAATATAAGTTCAAACGATGGGTATCAATTCGGGTAGTTTCCTCATAAATTAAAACTTTAGCTAGTAGAGATTCTTCATTTGCAGTTCTTCTAATTTAGAAGAATTTTCACCGATTCATATGCGATGAATTTAGTACTCGGTATTTACTATCACTTCCATGTATTCACTATATTTCTTTAATCGATCATATTCAACAAAATTTAATTCATCAAAACATTTCCTAATCGTTATATTGAGCTAACATGATGATTTTTTTTTTCTATCAAAGATAATTTAAAAAAATACTTTCAACAAATGTCTTAAAACAAAATGATTATATGTCGATAAGCAAAACTATTAGCTAAAATAATTACTACAACTAAAACTCAATTAACATTATCCAATAGGCTTGTATCTACAAAAATCAATACTCTTTGTATAACATATAATAATGAATTTATGCAAAATTATGATCATGTTCACTTGATAAATTCTTCATACAGAAATTATTCAACAGTATAGTATTCATATGTAAAAGAAAACTATTTATTAGTAGTTGTATATGAAAAGTATATCATAGTATAGTAAGTGAATATAAGACAGCTGTGCTATTTTGTTCTTTAGTTGTAATAAAAGAACATGTAATGTCTCACGAAGAAATACAAGTAATTATCAATGGCTATGATCGATTAATATTCACCATCTGGAAGAAAAGAAAAATGAGCATGAATCCGCTATAGTATTGTTTACATATCCTCCTTATTTTTTTTTTTTTTTTGTCTTCTAAGAAACAGAGATAGATTATTGGTATTGTTTTTTCTTATATGTATTCAGTTCTACATCCTTATATATACGTGTATGTTATATATAAGATAATAAACGTGTTATTCTTCTATTATAAAATTATTTGTCTTTTTGTTTTTTTTTATAATTTTTTAGAACGAAGTAAAATGCTTTCATAAATGTATTATGAAGAGAATTATTCATAAAACAAATCAATTCGATAATATAATCGTGACATCCATATTTAAATCTCCCATTGATGTTATACAACAGGTTTGTTAGCGTTATTTTCCTTTTAAGGTATACTATATATTCATTATTGTTAACATTCGTATCTTCTTCCTCATGAAATAAATACAACTTTATTTGGTTTTCGGATTCTTATTATTCGTTATTCAAGATCAAATTTTACAAATGTTTGCGTCTCCTTCTTTCTTTTTTTCTTCTTTTATTTCTAATCAAATAATTTTATTTTATTCTCAATTTCTCTTAAGATACTATGAGATCTGTACTATAAAACATAAGATTAATTTGAATGATGAAGATAATACGAAAAAAAAAAATAATAAATTACAACCTTGAAAATCCCTAAATAATCGATCAATGAACATGAAAACAAAAGAATCAATATAACAGTAACTAATCTCTATGATAAAATATGAGAAGAAAATATTTACTATTAGATTTTCTAGAACGTTAGTCGTTATACTTATGTATAATACTCAATGATTTCATAAGAGTGTCTATTACATAAAAAAAAAAAAAACAACACAACATACTTACAAAATCATTCATCTAAACAAAAATCGAATATGTTGAATGAACGATAAAATGATTTTTGTGAGTACATGCTTTTATACGAACAAGTATACCATTACAAATCATACGACATCAGACAGTAGTTTGTGTTTTTTTTAGTAAAGATCATGTTTATACACCTACACACTTTTTTTTTTAAAAAAATACTCATATTTAAATTTAACACACTACTGACAACACTTGAAAATATGCTTAAGTTATTTCGTTATATTAAGATTATATTAGTATTGAATGAAATATTACTAAAATGACATATAATTTTAATAGGAAAATGTTTCTATGGATTATAATACAAGATTGAAAATATTTGATTAATAAAATGTTGTTGTTGTTGTTGTTGTGAGTTACAATGACGTCAAACAAACTGCAAAAGAGATCATATGACTTAGCATAGGCAATGTAACTCAATGAATATCTGCAAAAAAAAAAAAAAAAAATAGCAATAAAAAAAAATAAAAAAAGAGAAAAGGATTAAATGAATGAAATAAAAGTTGCTTGCTTGACGATTTGAATGAAATTTTTTCGTTTATGTTTAGAGAAGAACTATTAAAAAAAAAGAAAATTAAGTTTTTCTCGAATTTTATTCTTTTATAGTTGTCAACTTAAAACATAAAAGGCTATTGCTTTAGGCGTCATTCTGTATGATTTGAATTTGCTTTTGAAATTTATATTCACTGCTACCTGCTACTATTCATTTATTTATTGAACTTGAAGAGCTTCTCAACCTGTATGTGTATTTAGTTGCCGAAAGGTGATTATATTCCATGTGCTCATATTGAATTCTTTTTTCTTTTTTTTCTAACTTAACTCTTTTTTTTCTAACTTAACTCTTTTTTTTCACATCTTTCACTTGACAACGAAAAAAAAAAAAAAAAGTTTGAATCATTCATTTCTTAAGCACATGTAAGGGCGGGTCGTACCGAATTATTAAACTCATGATTTTAGACAAAAAATTACAATTTTTTTTTCTTCTTTCTTTTATTCGGTTCACTTCGTTTTTTTTCTTCTTCTCTTTTCTTTTCTTTCGCAATATCCATCTGCCTACGTATTAAAACATTTTTTTTTTATTGAATTTTTTTTTTGTCGTACCATAACAAAATAATGTTGTCAAGCTGTCATGATGTAATATTACATATTCTATTCTTTGAATAAACACAAGTAGCCATCTATAATCACCGTCCATCAGTTAATTTTTGTATCCATTCAATTTAATCTATTCAGATTTTAATAACTGTACGATATATATATATATATATATTAGTGTATGAAGTATTATTATTATTATTATTATTCTTGATATCATTATTGGTTTGAAGACAACATCATTATTATTTATACAAATATCAATTATCTCATGCCTTTATTTAAACTATTTGAACTAATTGAAAATCTCTTTGGATCTGTCGGCGACGAACAAAAATATCTGTCTAAATCGAATCGTTCAAAAGCTAGACTTTCTGAAACATCAGACAGTTACAATAAATGTGCCAACAATAGTGCCAGTCATTCGTCAGTTCCATTAATAGAGTTTTCTCTTGTAAGTTTATTATTTTTTATTTCTATTTAAAAGTTTCCGTTTTTTTTTTTTCTCTCACATTTATTCATAAACAAAAAAACAATGGATCAATATTTCACATGCACACATATATATATATATATAAAATACTTATTTCATTATAGTTTACATAACACAAATTTTCTTTCAATTTGATATAAAAATGAAAAAGAAATTCGTAACATTATCGAACCTATTTAATTAAAATTATTATTATTTTAACGATTACTTTGAAGTGAACGACATATGTATATACATAATCTTGTCGAGTTCAGTATTTTTTTGCATTTCTCTTTTACATAGATTTGACTGTCGTCTTATTTCCTTTAGTCAAAACAACTAATACTCGTTCTATTCGATTTTAATCGTATGATCTTTTTGTATACTTTAAAACAACAAAAGGAGAAAGGCGTAGATGTATTTCATCAATGTATTTGAAAAAATGATCATTGTTTGAGAATATAACTTATAAAATTTTTTTACAAGGTATAGATGTTTAATTAATATATCTCTACATTATTCATGTTTTTTTTTAAAAGTAAAGAATAATAATAAGAAAACTTTTTCTTCAAAATTTTATAAGCAAGGCCAATGAAGATTAAATTCAAAAAAAAAGAAAATATATGTATATATAAAATACTTTCATTTATTCGGTTACTCTTTATACATTCTCTGTGATTTAATATCGAATTCCTTTAGTGAATCAAGCTCCCTTTTTTTTTGTGTTGATGTCAGGTCTAATATTGATTTTCAAAGGAGGAAAAAAAAATGCTCTCTATTGACATAAAAGTTTACTCTTAAGAACAAAATTAAACGAGATCACTGTTTCTTTAATAACTAGCGGCATGTTATATGTAATGCTTTTTGTTGTATATGTACTTGTCTATGTTACTCGCAATTATAATGAAAAAAAAAAAAAAAAATCTTCATATGAAAGAGAAAGACAAGAAAAGAGCAAAGAAAAAAAAAGAGAAAAGAATTTACTATATGTAAGATATTGATTATTAATATAATATATATCAAATAAGGAACTTATGAACTTCCATCGAAATAATAGCATACAATAATTTCAACCAAAAAAAAAAATGTTAAAAGTATGATAAAAAAGAAAAAAAAAATGAAATGTTGTTCTTGTTATGTCGTATCATGACATGTTTGTATTTTCTTTTATAAAAGGATACTTGAACAAATCAGAGAAAAACGAAGAAGAATGAGACACACTTCAAAAAATGAAAAGTGACAGTTTGTTAAAATTGATCTATACTCGACTTATGTTTAAAGCAATAAAATTTTGCCTGTCTTTTTTTTTTCTTCATGTGTACAATAATATAGAACAAAAAAACCACTGAAGGAAAAATAGAACTCTCCTAGAATAAAACAAAAAAAAATCAATATATGAAAATTAACTTTTGATTTATGTTTTCAATGACAAATTAAATCTTATATAAAATATCTTTTTCTTTTTTTTTTGTTTTTTATTTAGAATCCAACTACCAACTCACCATCTGTAAAAACATCTCGATCATCTATTACACCACCGAATAATAATCGTGTTGGAAATAATATTCGTGGTCCATCATGGTGGTTATCATTAATATTTTTACTTATATCTACTGTTATTGGTTTTCAATCTGGTCTTGTTCTTCTTTGTAATGTTAAACGTTGTATAACGGATGATTTATCCTCTCAACATGAATCAAATAATTTATTTAATAATAATAATAATAATAATAGAACAAATTCATTACTTGTTGCATCTATTAATTTACCACGTGTATCAAAAAAAAAACAATTAATTCTAATTGCTGTTATGACAAGTAAAGATTTTTTAACAACACGTGCACCAACTGTTATGCGTACGTGGGCAGAAAAAGTACCTGGTCAAGTTATATTTTTTTCAAGTGAAGGTTCAACAACAAATGATACAAGTATTAATCTTGTTAGTTTACCATCCGTTACAGATACATATCCACCACAGAAAAAATCTTTTCTTATGATGAAATATATATATGATCATTATTTAAATAAATTTGAATGGTTTATGCGTGTTGATGATGATGTTTATATAAGAACAGATAATTTAGAAAAATTACTTCGTTCAATAGATAATCGTAAATTTTTTATTTTAAATATTTTCGTTTTATTTTAATAAAAAAAAAAAAATTTTTTTTTGTTTTGTATTCTAGGTAAACCATATTATATTGGTCAACCAGGTGTGGGAACAAAAGAAGAATATGGTAAATTAGCTTTAGGTGAAAATGAAAATTTTTGTATGGGCGGACCTGGTATAATATTATCACGTGAAACTTTAGCACGTTTTACTCCACATATTAAAAAGTGTTTAAAAAATTTTTATACTTATCATGAAGATGTTGAACTTGGTCGATGTGTACATAAATATGCTAATACTTCATGTACATGGTCATATGAAATGCAACATATTTTATATAATCATCCTAATAAAACTGATGGTTATCGAGCATCAAATCTTGTATCTACAGATATTCTACGTGCTGTTAGTCTTCATTCAATAAAAGACATTCGTGTATTTACGCGTGTACATAATTTTGCTTTACAACGAAAAATTATGGATGTAGAACAACGAAAAATGTTATTACGTCGTCAAATTGATGTTTATGATCAAATTCTCAATATTGAAAATCAAATAAAACTTCAAGCAAAAAATCTTTCAAAATTAATACAAAAAACAAAAAATGAACAAATTAAAATTAAATTAAAACAACAATATAAAATATTGAATATGCCTGATCAACATATTGCTGAACAAATTATGTCATTATATAATAATACATTTCGATTATTTAATAATAATAATAATAATAATGAACAACAAGGTACAGATAGAAGATTTAAAAAAAAAAAAAACAAACAAAGAGATAATCTATTTATTTATTTTGTTATTTAATTTTCAGATCATCACTTATGGGATGCATTAAGAAAATATTTTAATCAATCTCGTAGTTCATCATTATCATCTCTTTCATCATCATCATTCTTATCGAATGATTTAATATTTCCTTTTCCATTCAATTCTGGTTTATCAATGTTAAAAAATAATAATAATAATCACGATTATTTAACACGTACAAAAACATTAAATAATTATCATAATAAATTTTCACGTCAAAAAAATAATAGTTTATATGACAAAAATGAATATGGTATATACACATTCTTTACTGCTAGTCAATATTCAGCAAATACAGAATTACCTGTTCGATCTATTGAACCAGCATATAAACAATGTTTTGATGAAGTTGTTCGAACATATATGGAAGACGTAAATAAAATTTCAAGAAATATGGGTCGATTTTTAGAATATAAAAAAACTTTATATGGTTATTACAAACATCAACCAAGATATGGAATGAATTTTATTTTAGATTTATTTCTTATCTATCGAAAATTTTCTGGTAAAAAAATGTCGGTAAGTTATTTTAATAAAAAAAAAACAAACTATTAGCGTAATTCCTACGAGATTAAAACATAAAACATGATGTAGTTGATTGTTGCTGATTACAAGAAGATTCTATTATTCTATCTATTTTGCAATACATTTTTTCACTATCCTTTTAATTTATCTTCCATAAATGCAATAAGGAAATAGTTCATATATTATAATGAGACATCATTGATCGTATATCAACAACATCCGTCACGGCCTATGACGCAGAGGGAATGTTGCTAAGGGGTTCCTATATATTTGAATACTTTTGTTGATTTGTGATTCACAAAAATTGAAATGAAATTAATCTTTGATAAGAATTTCAATGAAATTTTTATCGTAATTCTTTTTTTTTTGTTTTATTATTCAGGTACCCGTACGAAAACGTGTATATGTCGTGCAAAAATTTCGTCCTCTTTACTTTCGTGAATTACCATCAGCATATTCAAGTGCAATATTATCTTCTTCTGGAGCTGGTTCTCCTTATCATGCTAATTTAACCACACCGGTGACTAATAATATAAATACAACGATTATAACTTCATCTTCTACTCCTATACATATGATTGTACCTGTTAGTGGACGTCTTCCTACGCTAAAACGATTGTTAACTAATTTTTATCATGTTGTTATGCGTTCTAATGATACGGATCTTCTTAATGTACATCTTTATGTTATTCTAATGGAAACAGCTGAAGATAGTGGCGAACGTATGTCAACAATAGTTGATCATGTAAAAAAATTTATTAATGATAAACAAGTAAAACGTATACATTTAATTGAAGTTAAAGATGGAAATTTTACACGAG